TGGAAGAGACCTCAAGATCATCGAGTCCAACCTCTAACCTAACACTAACAGTCCCCACTAAACCATATCCCTAAGCTCTACATCTAAACGTCTTTTGAAGACTTCCAGGGATGGTGACTCCACCACCTCCCTGGGCAGCCTGTTCCAGTGCCTCACAACCCTTTCAGTAAAGAAGTTCTTCCTAACATCTAACCTAAAACTCCCCTGGCGCAACTTCAGCCCATTCCCCCTCATCCTGTCACCAGGCACGTGGGAGAACAGGCCAACCCCCACCTTGCTACAGCCTCCTTTAAGGTATCTGTAGAGAGTGATAAGGTCGCCCCTGAGCCTCCTCTTCTCCAGGCTGAACAAGCCCAGCTCCTTCAGCCGCTCTTCGTAGGACTTGTTCTCCAGGCCCCTCACCAGCTTTGTGTATATATACATGTATATATACATATACATATACATGTATATATATATATACATGTATATACACATATATATATATATATATACATATATATATATATATATGAAAATATACATATATATACTCCTGCTTCTTAGGTTAGGCTCCTCTGCACTCCAAAATAGCAAGCAAGACCAACAAGTGGTAAAAGAAAAAAAGTGAAAAACATTTTTTCAATCTGACATGTAGCATTGTTGTACGTAAATTTGTCTCATTGTGCTTTTCCTTGGTATTAGTTTTGATTATTTTAAAGAGGTGGGGAGTGACAGGGGAGTGACATGGCAGGAGGGTGAGGCCTGGGGGACTGGAGGCAGAGCCCCAGCGGGGAGGGGTGGCAGAGGCTGTGATCACACCACTGGATGCAATGTGTGGGCTGTTCTGCACCACGAACGGTCCAAGGATAATGAGCTAATTTCTCTCTTTTACCTTGTTGTGGAACTGAAGGATATGGAAATGCTTGCACCAGCTGATGAAATGTAATTTCCTGATACAGGCCTCACGGCATTGAGGTGTCACAGATGGCTGTGGAGGAAGCCTTTTCCCCTCCACGGGGGCTGATCATGAACCCCAGCCACACAAGAGGTCGTCATGATGGGTGACAACATTATTACAAGAGTGATATTGCAGTCCACGTAACAGATATGTTGGACAGTGATGGAATAATCTTACGTTCAATATAATCAATCCAAAATGACATTGTTTCACTCTGTGCACCACCTGCAACAACAAATTGCAATTGCAGGGAAGAATTTCCTTACTCTCCATGCCATACGTACTGGTGCATAGTTAGCTAGCTGCATCACAACGTGTCTTACCCTTCCATAACAATATTTACATATACACTATTTCAGTGCAGCAATTACACTGCATTAAGCTACATAACTTTGCCCCTCTGCAAGATGTGAGAACAGATTAGATTGTTCTTTGTCAGTACCAGCAGATCCTCTGAGCTGAAAAATTCCAGAAAAAAAAAAATAAAGCACAGCTATGGCAAGAAATTAATGCAAATCTTAGATTTCCCAATTCCCCAACATTTCAAAAGAAGAAAGGAAGAATATTGTAGATTCAGGCATCAGAGCTCAGTAAGTGTGGAAATATTAGGAGGATGAGAGAACGGTCCAGATGTCTGAGAGCAGAGGCCAAGTCAAATGCTCCTGAAATCCTGCAACTGAAATGTGAGAAGTTAGGATGGGGCTGTGTTTCTTAAAGAACTTTGAAGGAAAGTCATTCATTTGGACAATTCAGGGGAAAACAAATTGGTGCAGGAGTGGAAAACTGACCTGAGTAGCTTACTTGCAGGCTGCAGTGCTACACGTGGCAGAAGTACACCCTCCAGTGTACAGGTCTCCAGTCACCACCCAGCCTGTAAACCCAACTTAAACTCCAGTGTCTTCAAAGAACTGAGAATTTTGCTCAGCTCTATGACGAACACCTCCACAGCACAGAAAAATCACCTGTGTCAGACTTCTCCCCAAGCCACTCAGTGCCTCCTAGCCATCGTTTTCCATTTCCATTGTAGGTAGCATTGCCCATGCCAGCCTCTGTTCTTTTATTCTCTGTTTTTCCAGTGAGTCCGTGGCTCTGACTTTCCTCGTGGTGACATGCAGTGATAGTTTGTTTGCTCTGCTGGTCACAGCAGCAGCTTGTATTCAATGAACTGCTAGAGCAGCAGAGGGAAAAACAGAATCCACAGTGTGGGAGCTTGCTTCCATACACAGTTATATTATTTATTCCTTATTCAGTCATTTGTGTTAGGAAGGAACCTGTTACATAACTGCTGTCCCAATCTCAACCAAAGGAGAACATCTGCTTTCAGGTGTTTTCCTCTGCATTGTACTGCTCATTACTTATATATCAGACCATATGAGAGTTACTATTTTTTTTTTTTTCTCATAAAAATGAGACAAAGAAAAGAAAGGCCATTTGACTTCACATCAAAATGCAGACTGGATAAACTGGCTTAGTGCTGACTGTGTTTGTTAAAAATTACTTTACAAACAACTTGCAGAGGCAGAAAAAGAAGAATATTACAACTAGATGAATGAATATTACAACACACCTGGTCTTTGTGTTCTGAACTTCATGTGTGGACTTCCTGTTGAGTCCTCTAGAGTGCAGAGAGCTCAGCTGATGGGTCTTTGTGGGAATAAGGCTTGGACTGCAGTATCTGCAAACCAGGGACTGCTTTTCATTATGGGCTGTGCAGAACCTCATCTCAGCAGAGGCTTACCAGCATGACTGAAGACAACAGCAATTATTAGCCGTATACTGAATGTATCTCAGCTTTGTTAGGGAAAAACAAAAACAAAACAAACAAACAAAAAAACACAACACAAACAAGGCAAAGCAAAACAAAACATCACACTAATAACTACTCCGAGTAAAAATTTAAAGAACATTTTACTTTGATAAGCTAGGCCTGAAAAAATTCTTGGATGCGAGGAAGTTTGGTGTCCCCAGTGTTTCAGTTGCCCTGATTTCACTCTATTCAGTCTCACCTCCCCTTGCATGGAAAGAAGAAACTTCTTTCCTTGATGGTCACAGATGAAAAAGAGCTTGCAGTACGTATTATCCACCAGCCATCCAGCTTGTGCAGCTGGAGAAGAAAATAACTCCACCCTGCACAAGTGTATCCTCTCTGCTCACATTTACAGTGTAAATGCAAACCCTTTCAGCTTAGAGCAGCTCAGCTCTCTGGAGTCCTTTATAAAAAAAAATAAAAAGCAGAGGAAATGAGAGGTTAGAAGCAATTTGTATCAATATGTAGCAGCCACCGCTGCCAATGTCATTTCTAAATGCTGTAATTAGCCAGCAAAAGGCAAAGACTAATTCTTGGACTTGTACAGGATGGTGCAGTTTCAAAGTTCTTGCAACACAGCCTAGCGGGAATCGGTGATGTAGAGGTCCTTGGTCAATTCCCTCCACGGAGAAAACTTTGCCGTAAAAGAAAAAATAAAAAAATAAAAAATTGCATTTCTACAGAGCAGATGAATTGGATGTGACTGAACTTAAAGAAAGTGAAAGAAATGTTTGTAAGTTCATCCGTAAGTCAGCATTTCTCTGTTTTCTAGGTAGGATTGTTGTTTCATTGTTGTCTTGTTTTGCTTTGTTGTTGTTGCTAGCTCCAGATTTTCTAGAAGACCTGTAACATACGAATGTATGCTTCTGCTTTTATTCAAGCTCAGAGGTGCACTTGTCTGGGGATCCTTGTTCTTAATCAGCCACTGCATGCCCTCGAGTTAATGTTGCAATTATCACGCGATATCGAACTGCTGGGATTCACACACCTTTAGCTCTTGACAGCCTTACTCATTTGCTCCTCAGAGGGGACACCTCTGAGCTGTGCATGCTCTTTGCAGAAATGACTGCTAGTAGGTGGCTGAAACAGAGGGGTTCATCAAGTAAAGGAAATTCCACAGATCTCAGAGCACCTTTTACTGTGATATGACTGCACATTCCCTTTCCTCAGATGAGGCCTTTTAGTGCTTTGCAGAGCCAAGCTCACATCCGCTCTGCTGATAACATGATGAAAAGTATCTGGAGTCATGTTCCCAGGGCATCATCATCAATTAGATTCTCCCTAGCTAATTATTCATCTTTTTTTTTCTTCTGATGCAGATGTTGCCCCCACGTCAGCCTTTCTACGTGGATAAGACTGATTGCAAATGCTGTTCATATAAATATTTGCAGAGTAAAAAGATGGACCACAAAAGACATTTTTAAAAAAGACCATATGATGCATGCTGGTGGGATAGGAACGGGCAAGACTGAGTCAGTGAGGAGATCTCCTCAAGACGAATGCTCCTTTAAACCCTCCTAGAAAATAAGCTCTGACTCTCAGTCTTTCACTTAAAATGGAGATGGATATAAAGGTATTTCTGAGGGATTAACACCACCAGTAGCCAACTTGTGTATTTTCTTCCAGCATTGCCTCTGCCTGTGCCCAAATCCCCTGGGAAGCTGCTGATGTTGAAGTGGAATACTCCTTTCCTCTCAGGGTACAAATGCCACTCCTTCTGTGGCTATTCCCTTGTTTTAGTCTGTTTCAGGAGAAGGATCTGCTTCCCCAGTGCTCTGCAGCAGCTCCCAAATGTGGACAACTGCCTTGGCAAAGGAGGGCTCTTACAGCTCCCCAATGCCAACCGCTCCTGCTGCAGTGAAGATATTTGTTAAGAAAAGAAATGCCATCAGCAGGGCAACAGGTGGTATATTGCAGCAAATCATGAAAGGGTTATAATAAGACAGTGTGAGAGTGAGGAGGAAAAAGTGAAAAAGAGGGGGACAAAGCCGAAGGAAGACCCTGTGGCAAGCAATTTTTCAGCCACGGCGTTTACTTGGTGCTGAATGACAAGCTTGCTAATTTTACAGCACTGGGGTCATGTATGGCCCTGGAAATGTGCTCGCCCATTGTACTCCTCACTGTTTGCTTAGAAGGAATTCAGAAGGGATTTGCTTTCTCTTGTTTCACGAGCCCCACATTTCCACGCTGCCCGAAGTGGATACGCACCAGCTGGCCACGTCCATCACCGCCGCCGGGACAGAGAATTCCTGATTATACTTAGAGTCACAGACTCGGCTCCGTCATTAGCGGGGGAGCACAGCTTGCACACTGCCATCCGAAATGCAGCTGGGGAGCTCCACTCGCCTGGCCTGACAGCACCGGACACTCTCTGGACCAAGGATGAAAGATCTGCTGGTGGTGCCCCTTGGGCACGTCCTCACCCTGGCAGCCCTCAGCCTGGCCGAGACACTTCAGAAAGGTTTGCTGGGTTTACACCCTGCTCTGCTCCTGCTGAGGGAGGTTTTGCAAAGGGGAAGGCATCTCTGGCAACGGTGGAGTGGGTGGTGTTCCCCCAAATGGGCGAAAATGTACTGTTTTTGTCTCTGTCTGTCCGGTGGTCACTTGGATGCTTTTTGGATAGCAGGGAGAATAATTCCTGTCTCTCACTGATCACTGAGGAATAGCAGTGAGATCTATTGCAATGGGCAGTGGAGAGCTTTGGGTTCAGCACGGGTAGGATGGACGTGTCCTGTGTGGGCTCACAGGTTTCCACTGCTGGGGGGATGCAGTGCTGGTGTTGTCCCACCTGCCTATGTCTGCCTGTGGGGTACACAGCTTGAAGATGACACTTTAAGGTCTGTATAGGGTGTATATATAAATACAAATAAGCAACTTGTCTGTTGCATGCAGCAGGGTGTTACTACACCTAGTTTCTCTCCTGCACAGACATGCACACATATACCTTTACCAATGCATGAACTGAAAAATAATCCGCTCAGAAAAGTCCCTGAGGTACAAAGGGGAACACCGTTTTTCTGGATTTGCCATCTGGTAACACTGTGGACAAAGGGATTGATTGCACACTGTCAGGAGACATTCTCAGCATGCCAGAAAATGTGCAGCTTCAGGAAAAAAAGCAAAAAAAAACTACTTGAAGGAGGATATTGGTAGTCACCAGTTAGGCCCACATTGCTGCTCTCATCCGGGTGTATGGATGAGAAAACATAAATACAAACAACAAAGCTGGAAGTCAGGATGGCCTAAAAATGGGGAAAAAAATACTTATTTTTAATAAAAGTGTTTGAAATCAATACATGTATGTCAGCTTTTTGCTAAGGCAGTAACATACATTGGTGTACCCCGCCGTTGTTCCAAGTGGTGATAGCATGGGACTGGAGGGACAAGAAAACCAAAGAGGGAGGTGATTGCTTCCCACCCTGGCGGCATAGTGCAGTGAGGAGATAGGCATCTGTTCCTAAAACATCACGGGCAGCTGCATTGCCACGTCCCTGGAGAGAGGCTGAGTGTGCAAGTGCAGCCCAGGGGTACCCTATGGAGGCCCTGCTGGAAGCACCCCTGAGCATGGTTGTAGGCCAGAGGAGCCTGTGACGCTGCAGGGGAGGCTTTGTTGGCTTGGTGTCTCTTGTTTTAAAAGTATGAATTCAGACACCAAACCAAATAACCTGGTGGCTTCTGGTGGGTGTGGGATTTGGCTTTCCCACAGGCGCCGTGACTGCCCTTTGGTTCATTTTGCTATCTTGGGTAACTACAGCTGACATCCAGAAAAATGGCACCAGGGCGGCTTTGCAGATGTATAGCTTAATTGATTTTCGGTGTTATCTAATCCCACATGGCTACCTAAAAATGTCAGAGAGCCCCAACGCATGCACACGGAAAGGTCAGGGGCCACTTCTATATACTGATAAACATATATTGTACTGTTTTGATTTTATTTCCCTGCATTAAAATCTGGTCGTAAAGGTGTCATAAGTTTTGACTGCTCTCCTGAGAAGACTGAGAGCGACGCCAGTACCTGAGCTTTTCTGACGCCTCTTGCAAGGAGGCAGCACCTCGGCCATTTTGGGGCTCCCTTGCCGCAGGTTGACAAAATGGCGGTGCACTCCACCACTACGCCCTGAAGATACACCACGCCACACGACTTTTGGGTTTCTGTCCCACCTCCATCGCACAAAGTGAAAGGAGTACTGCCTTCGCCTTCCCTGCTGGCCCCACGTTTTAATTTTAGCATAGGAAATGAAAAGATGAAATGAGAAGATTGCACACTGCTGTTATCACAGTCATTCTTCGAGGCCATAGAGTTTAGGGTGGTAGGTGTAAAACAATGATCCTTTTCTGTTTTTTACTACAGGCGATAAAGGATTGTGAACAGTGCAAATCTAACTTTTTTATTCAAGTGGCTGTTCTCATTGTGACAATGCAATTACAAAACTGGTTGCTTTGAATTTTAGTTAATGTAAGAATTTACATTTCTCAGGGTTAAAAAAGCATCATTCCTGAGATCAAGGCATGTGGACAACAGCAATAAAAACATACAATATAAAATTAGATCATAAAACTCCATTTCATTCAGGCTTAATTCCACCAAAACCTCATAAACTCTGTCATGAAATAACAACATCTCCTTTGAAGTAGACAGGATAACCATCGGTGCAAGTTATTCTCCTAAAACAGCTGCCAGTTACAGGAAAATTTAGGCTTTCTGAAAATTTTCCACTTGGTTTCGCTAGAGTGGGATTCATCCGGGATGACATATAGATACTACTTCTATCTAGTGTGACCTAAAATGACCCAATAAATTGCAGCCTGTTACAATTTGAGACAGTGATCTCAAATAGTGAATCTGACAGAGATGTGTTTTAATTAACATTTAGATAATATAATCATTAGTGCTACGTTAACTGTAGCTTTAAGATCTGTCTGTATAAGTACAGCAATTACCCGCTATGCAATCTGAAGTCATATAATCTAGAAATGTTATTGAGACATGTTTGTTCTGATGACAGTTCAAAAGTGTCAGGACTTTTGCATAAACCTGTTACTGGAAGTCCATAATTTTTAGCCCTAGCTTCATTCCAAATGAACACCAATGACAATCTAATTTTACCCCCATGATAATTAAAAAAGAATTAAGGTAAATGCTTTCTATTATTATCATTCACTTATACTGGAATTCCTTTTATTTAACCATTTTTTTTAAAGAGGAAGGTTAAATTTGGTATTTTTTTTTTCCTGTACCTAAATCTTGTTTTACTGAAGACAGTCAGCAGTATGGGAAGGATTTTCCTGTGAAAAAACAGACTGTATGCCAGATACTGCTACAGGAAGAAAGGAACAGGAAGATTCTTGCATCCGCTGAGCATTTGCAAGGTGGTGTTTCAGGGACATGGTATGAAACTAGTTCATGTCAGCACAGCTGTCAGTGAAATTCAGCCCAACAAATATTGGATGCATGTCCCTTGCAGCCATACATTAGAAGTCATTCATGTGTCTTGGGATGCAAAGGCTGCAATGCATACCATGCGCAGGGAGAGTGATTCACTAGGCATACCCTTTGATCCTTTGCAGTTCTGCTTAGAGACTTTTACCAGGGTGATGGAAAATGTTTCTAAAGATACATTCAAATAATGCATGATGACAGGTCTGCGATAGTAAGTGTCAGACACAGCTATTGCACTTTTAACCCTGGTGCTACTTGGTTAGAAAAGGTGAGAAAAAGACAGGGTGTGCAGTAGTCATGCCATATATCTGGAAGAACTGATGGGCCTTTAGGAGTCTGGTTTTGGAAAAACTCCTGTCTTGTATACCAGGATGTTCTGTCTTGTGCCCTGTGGAGAAAGCAGAGGGGAAAACGCAAAGCCTGCAGTCAATGACAGCAGAATGCAGGTAACAAAGGCAGGGGGATCTCAGTCACAGCAAGCATGTGAAGGCTGCATGAAGCAAGGAGCCATCTGGTGACCTGCAGGGACACCTCTGCCTTGGCCACCTCCCTCTGGGGTCACTGGGAGGTTTTCATATTTTCTTCTCCTTTGTGCAGCCCCCTTTATCAGCACTCCCCTGGAAACTGTGGACGCGCTGGTGGAGGAAGTCGCCAAGTTCGTGTGTGTGGTGGAGTCATACCCAGAGCCAGAGATAACATGGACACGCAACAGCATTCCCATCAGGTAGGGGACCGCCTGGCCTGCTCCAGTGTCTCCTTCCGAAACATGTGGTGCTTTTTTTCATGACAAAGGTGGCATTTGGAGGTGGGTCTGCAGTGGGAGAAGAGGTCTGTAATTATTAGTGAATCTGTGTTTCTTAAGGAGTGATAAGAGCACTCTGGGGATTGCTCAGACATGTGGTTGGCAATAACAGAATGAGAAATCTGCTGTCAGTACTCAGGGCAGGGAGCCCGAGCTCTTGCTGTGCTATGTGCTTTCTTAAAGTGAATGTGAAAAGCCATTTTCTTGGCCACGTGGGCTTGCTTTCTGTGTATCTGTGTTGATAACAGTATTATGTGGCCCTGAATTTTCTCTGAATCTCAGCTCTGGTTATGTTTGAAGTATCTGTCCTTTGCAGCTTCACACTTTGAGTTGGAGACAGTCGGTTTCTTCTGTGAGCAATGCAAGGAATTTGTTCTTCAGCTGCTCATGGTGCAATTCTCTCTCTGTTCCTCAGTTTGCTCCTTTACAAAGGATGCCGTATAATATTTAAACGGAGCATCATTGCCAGACTTGCTGCCTGAGTGTCTGCAGTGCACTTGGAAACTGCACAACAGGGGTTGTATCATGCCATTCTTTGCTTCTGCATCTCTGTCTTGTGAACTGCCAGATGTTAATGTCCAGGCATTGAAGTGCCTCTGAAAAAGGCAGCCTTGGAAACATGCTATGGAAGTTACTACCATTGCTGTAGCCCCGTTGCTGAAGACAGGCTCAAGCAAAGCAAACTGCACCCAGTCTTCCAACTCTGAAACCAATTCATATTTTCCAGATGGCTTCACATCAGTTTCTTCTTCTTGACTGCTGTTAGTGACTGTCTCTGTAATGGAAAATTACAGAATGATCTCTACATAATGCAGTTCTGTTCTCCGAGGCTGATCTCCATGTAATGCAGATAGTCACTTTCAGTATGGTTCCTCCTGTTGGGGTTGCAGACCAAGAGCACCCTTCAGCACAGTTCAGGAGACTCCAAACGAGCCATCAGCAGGAAGAAGTTTTACTGCTAGGAAGCCCATTTTAGAATAAGAAAAGGGAAAAAAAAAATCTGCATGTATTGCCTTCAAAAATCTGATTTATTGCCTGCAACAGAACCTCATCAAAGCCCTGTTCCTAACACTTTTGATGTAGGGGGTGGAGGTCCAAGTTTCCACAGATGTTATTTCCACATTAGGTCACATTCCTCCAAATTCCTTTTCCATTCATGACACCATGCCTGAAAATCCAAACTGGCAGAGGAAGCCATTCATGCAGGACCATGGAGATAACATGCCTTTTTAACCCCATGACCTTTAAAATTTCACTCTTCTGTTGTAGGATCATATGAAAAAATGTTAATTTTTGCCCCAGTCTGCACTTCCAGAAGCCCAACACACCTTTCTAAATCCATCCCATTTTCTCTGAGACACAATGACTGAATAGCAAAATACCAATCAAAAAGCTCTCCTGGAGAGCCCAGCTGCTTCATTGCTTTCCCACATTTGAGACACCATTCTGAAGCAACATGAATAGCAACAGCTACATCACTTTCCCAAATCAGTGCTGGCATTAATAGTTGGTGCTAGTGAATACACAAGCTTGGGCCAAAGACAAGGCAATATCTATCTTTGTTATTTTCCAAAAACGTGGATGAAAGTATTTCACAATAGAAAAAGATCAGATCGGTGGACTTTTCTTATTTTTCTGGAAAAAAGTATAAATATATTCATGTGTGTGTATCTGTCAGACTTCAAAGGGGCCAAATACAGCAAGCAATAAATAACTGATAGTTATTTTACTTATGAAATTTTCTTCTGTTGCCAAGGTCCAAGCACCCCGAACAGACAGCTCAGCTAACCTTCAAAACAATGCAGTGTGTAAACATTCGGCTTCAATGGGAGTAGTGCCAGGACAGAGGCTATTGTCAGCACTATCTGTCTGGAAGCTCCTTTACATGTTCCTTTTGGTGTCAAAACTTGTGCAAGTAGCCTGGTGTGTCCTGGGCTGACCTCAGTCTGTAACACGGCAAGTGGCACACGCAGACTACGCAGTAGCTGGTGTTTATGTTTTTCAGCCATGAAAGATGAAAGGGGACATACTTAGGCTTCAGGTATTTTATTTGTGACAGCTTGGGAGACAGTCCTCTAGTGATTTTGCTACTACTTATTGGAGTGAATTGCATGAAAGTCCTTCCAAAAAAACAGCGACAGTGTGAAAGTCAAACATGGAGGAACTTATGAAATATTATGCAGATTTTCTTCCTCTAAGGTTTTACTGTATTTTTCCAGTTTTGCAACGAAAATCAGAGAGCAGTCCTCTGCTTTCTCACCATCTGTGCTTCTCTCTTTCTCTCTCTCTAATACGCACATGCACACACAGCATACTCTCATTTAGAACTTATCTTTGATCTGTAGATTTCTCTGCAAAATCCCGTACCTTTGCTGATCAGACTTCAAGGCTTTTCTGGACTTCTCAGAAGTTCCCAGGTTAAATCCCACTGTCATTAAATTATAGCTATCCTTACATCTTCTAATCTTTAGATGGATTATTTTCTTCAGTACATTTCTTTCTTTCTTTCTCTCTCTCTTTTTTTTCCCCCCCATAACAACAACACTTCTATAGCTTCAAACAAATAAGCAAAAATGCTCCCAGACACAAAATAGACGGAGATAAAAATGCTTGGGTTTTGGTTGCTGTCTTTTCTTTTTCACAAACAATCAAAATACTGCCAGAAAATCATACCTTTCATGGAAAACAAAAATTCTGAAGAAAGTTTCTTTAAAAAGCTTCAGCCAGAGCCATTTCCTGCACAGGCAGTCCTTCCTTGCACTGGGTGATTGTACCTAAAACAGGACCCACCTGGATTAAGGTTACTTGTGCCGGATAGGGTGCCAGAGAGTGAGCCCTCCTTGCTTTCCCAGACATCTGCTGGAGGAAGCATCGACACCACGCTGGTGTCCATCAGGAGCTGCAAGGCTGAGCGAGGACCAAACCAATTATTAAGCCCCGTCTTGATGTTCTCAGTGCTTTTATTTGTCTTTATTTGTCTGCGAATTATTTTTATTTGTCTGTAAATGGGAGGTACAACTTTGTGGTGCCACCGGTCTGTGGACACAGGTGCAGTGTCCTCTCCAACCACCCATGCTGTGCCCCGCAGGCTGTTTGACACCCGGTACAGCATACAGAGGAATGGGCAGCTCCTGACCATCCTCAGCGTGGAGGACAGCGATGATGGGGTGTATTGCTGCACGGCGGACAACGGGGTCGGCGTGGCCGCCCAGAGCTGCGGGGCTCTGCAAGTGAAGATGCGTAAGTGGGAAGGCAGCGGAGCTTACAGCGGTATCTCCTGGCCCGATCATCCTACTGTGGTGCTCGGCCTATGGTTTGGGGGAAAAATTGCAGTTCTTGTGCCTTAAAATATAAATTCACCCAAAGATGAGGACAAGACAGCTGGTAGCAGGGGAAGGAACAGTGTGAAGGTGCAGCTGAGAGTCCGAGCAGAGCTCAGGGTGACCCACCTTCCACGAAGGGCTGTGCATGAGCCTGGCCAGCTGCCGGCCCCTAGGAAAAGACATGGCATGTCACACCATGTCTTTGGGATGTGCCATCTGTGGCGCTTTGAATGGCACCAGAACTGTTTGTGTAGCAGGGTGTTATAAATGGCTCAGGATTCAAATTAGGACACGAATTGGAATTGTTAAAACATTCCTCACAATGGGATTAAGAAAAAAAATAATTATTTGATGAACGCCTGTTGAACAAAACTTGTAAAAGCAGCACAGCTTGATAGATTGGCCTTTTGTAGCAACACTGCTTAAATCCCCTGTGAATTTTAGACGTCAGATGTCACCAATCAGATCTGTGGCTAAGGATGGTAAAAGCGAGTACACACTGTTCAGATGTTCTTAAGTGAAGTCTTGAAAGGTCTGGAACATCATTGTGTAAATCTCATCATCCCCTTTGGGGAGCAGGGGCCTGGTTTTTGCAAAAGGCCATGCACGCTTTGGGCCTGGTCAAGCTGAACTCACTGTGACTGTGTTCATTTACACAAATGATGAACCCTCCACAAAGGAGGGCTGAAACACCTGTTTGTATAAAAGGGCTTGTTTGTGCTTGTGAGCCTGATGCTCCGGATTGGGCAGTCCTGAGGCTCTCAGCCCCCAGTCACCTGCAGGCAAGTATTGCTCTCTGAAATACGATTTTCTGCTGGCATGGTAGTGCTCCAGGGTAGCAAAACTCAGATCTCCCAAAATGCTGAGGTGGAGATCTTTTTCACTGTAAACACAGTCTCTTTGGGTAAAAGAAATTTAAATTTGCCCCACATTAACTTTAAGGAAGGTTTTTTGTTTTGTTTTGTTTTGTTTTGTTTTGTTTTGTTTTGTTTTGTTTTTCCTCTCTGTAAGGATACTTTCTGCTTTTTACTGGCATGGTCATTAGTTCTTCAGTTAGCAACATTAATTGAGTTTACATGCCCTTCTTGGTGACCTAGAGACAATGTCAAATTAAAACCATTTCAAAACCAATTCACCCCATATATGAGCTTTCACACAAGGCATTGTTTATACTGAAAAAATGTCAAAACCTGGAATGCAAACATTCTTCAGTATTGGAAATACTTTTATCTGGATCTGGATTTCAGCCCAGACCCTAATTCAAATGACTGTCAAACTCCACTCCTGAAAACAAATGACCCATGCAAGATAGGTGCTTTTGAGTTCATATACTGACACTCTGAATGCTCCACTTAAGAAAGCTTTTACTTGTCAAAGCAGCTCATGCCCTACCAAGGCCTGTCTATCCTTCAGCTACAGCAATATACAGAGAAAGCAATAAGAGATTTTGTTGACATTTCTGAATTTGACCTATTCTTGTATCTCTTACCTTCAGTTCAAGTTTAATTTTTATCTTTTCAAATTTTAGGACCGAAAATAACCCGGCCACCTCTGAATGTGGAAATCATAGAAGGGTTAAAGGCTGTTCTTCCATGCACAACAATGGGAAATCCAAAACCTTCTGTTTCGTGGATCAAAGGAGAAACCGTTGTAAAGGTGAATAGTGAATGAAATTTCAGTATTGCTGGCTATTTGCTAAAGGTACTGTGATAAAATATTATCATAACTTGCAGCTTTTCCAAATTCTACTTGCTGGGAAGAAAGCATTTGGAAAATACTTGGCTCATCTCATAAATGCCAGCATTCACCATAATTCTGTCTATAAACAAAATATTTTCAGTGTCTATATTTTACATTACTTTTATTACTACTAAGCATGGCTAAATGCTGCAAAATACATTTGTGAGTATTTTCATAAATAAGATCTAGGGAGCAGCTTGGCTAAGATTGAGGGCCCTATGAAAGCTGTAATTTACTGGTCTGCAAAAATAAGCATGGGCCAGTATATTGTAACAGTGCTGAGCGGGAAGAGCTGTCCCCAAATTCTTCAGTTTCAGGGCAGCACAAATTATTTTTATGCATACAAGCCCAACCTTTGCAAGTGGACATTTGGTGCTGTTTGTGGACAGGATGTACGTAAAGCCCTCACCTCGGTCCCTTCTTCCTCTGCCAGGAGAATGCTCGCATTGCTGTTCTCGACTCAGGGAATTTAAGGATCCACAATGTTCAGAGAGAAGATGCGGGGCAGTATCGGTGTGTAGCCAAAAACAGCCTGGGCACAGCCTATTCGAAACCTGCGATAGTGGTCGTGGAAGGTGAGTAGTGCTTGCACCGGGATCCAGCTCTTTGCGCTGACCTTGCAAGCATACACAATTAACTTGTATGAAGCTGAAGTACCAGCTTGACGTGGACAAAATCACCCTAGGGTGACTCAAGAGGCAGAAGAAGGGAAAGGAAAGGAAAGTAGAGTGAGAAACAGGAAGTTTGTCCATTGCTGGTTGATGGTGAAAGAGTCATTGGCTATGGCTGCTGTGGCTCTGGTGGGAAATTTGCCTGAGTAGGGACTCCAAAATCTGTCTACCGATTTTCCCTTTGGACTGAAGTTTTCTGAGAGGCCAGTTTGTTTCTTGTTTGGAAGGTCTCACCAGAACTGTCATGGGTTACACGCTATGGCTTGTGGATTGAACTAGTAGGAAGCTGATGGCTCTGGAAACTGGCTGCAAGGAACCTGGTTGGAGCCAGCTGCAGCTCCAAATGGTGCAGCTTTATGTGTGCGTCCCTTCCATTTCCCTCTGATTTTCCATCTGAACTGGTTGATTCTTCACCTAAACAGAGCTGTTCTTTTTGAGGACTTACACATTTTCTGCCCGCTAAACTGAACACCAGATTGAGTTTTTAGTTTCTAGTCTTTATGTGCTCAGTATCCTTATTTTGTTTACGGAAGATGTTTGCTCTCTGGTATAAATCATGGCCAGTTTCATAGTGCTGAGACCAATGGATGGCAGGGGCAACCAAATGTAGGCAATGAAGCATTCACGGTTCCTGGATCCTGAAAGAGAAGTTGGGTTAAGCAAAATTTTGCAGAGTGGGAAGAGGAATGACAGATGAACTCTTTTTTTGTTTCATTTTCAAAATGAAATAATGCAAAAAGTGAAGAGAAGGTCTGTTTGCCTAACAAGCTTCAAAAGATTGTTATGGTTACATTTGGCCCGAGACTATCAGAGGTTATTCACGGCACAACCCTGTTTCTAAAAGGACCATTGACATTCTTCTGGAAGGAGGGTCAGGTGCATTAGATCTGCCTACAAATTACTGTAGACTTGCTGTTTTCTTAAAGAATGCATTCGTTTTCCTTTCTTTTTCTAATATTTACATGTACAGACTTCAAGTATGTTCGAAATTCCTTAGATAGCTAAATACAGGAAGGTAGCTGCTCCTAATCTAGAGTCAGGACTGTGTTTCTTCCCAGCTCAGAGTGATGAGGCAGGCAGACGGTACTCAGGTGTGGCTCAGTACAGCCGTGGACCTAGGTTCTGATTTGGCTCCACTGCTGAGGGAGTGGCCGAAGGCTAATCAAGAAACGACTAAGGAAATTGCTCATTGCCATGCTGGTAGGCCCCTCCATTCCATGCAGAAGAGCCACAGGCACTAGGGCTTTATTGCTTGGATCTGCTAGACTGGGTAAGGGAATCTAAAAGTGGGCTGGAACTGCACCGAAATATGGCCTGTGGAGGTTGATACCTTGTTTTGTCCCTGTCTCCAGAATTATACAGACGAATGTTAATTCAAGGAAAGGCAAATTAATCCCCAAATATCCTAGTTGCAAAGGAGAGTCTGTGTGTGCTCTTTTTAAACGGAAAAAGATTAGTTCTTAATTAATCAATGGCATCTCAGTGCTCCCGTACAACCTATCCCTTCATGTTCCCTCCATGTGTTGTGTTCACAAAGCAATGCTGTTCTCTGGGCTCGCCTTGGTTTTTCTGGTAGGGCACCCATATAATACACCTTGTTTCAGGCTACCACCCAAACTAGACTGATGCATGTTTGTTTTACTTTTTTGGCTCCCAAAATCCGAAGGTAATAATCCTGACTACAGCTTTCTGTGTACACAGATCTCTTCCCCTCACGGTATTTTGGATCAACTCTCATGAATATTTAAAATACAGACCTACTCACATACCCGTGTATGCATGTGTGTGCACACACACACGCTCAACCCCTTGCACACCTCTTTTATAGGCTGGCTCACCCAGGTTTTCATTATTTTTAGTATTCCTTCCTTTATACCCCCTTCGCATCGGCATGTTAAAATAGATCCGTGTCAATAATAATTTTAAACGACTCGATGCAGGAAAATCACCATTCAGTCGGCCTTCTCTGAGCATTCATTAGGGCCCTGTTTTCATAAAACTTAGGAAAACATGCTGTTTTCTGCTTCTCTGTAATAGCGCTACAACATTTTTCCTTAAAACTTTTTGTTACCACTCACTGGAGTTACCACCCTGCATAGTGTGGCTTAATATTAAAATAAAATGACTAACGTGGCTTGTTAACTATGAATATTTAATCCCGAAGCAAATGCCCATTCAAAGAACTGTGCAAATATTTACGCCTAGCTAAATCAAGATCAGGCAGGCCCTGATTTCTGAAAGAAGTTTCTCATTTTCTGTTGTGAGCTTCCATTTTAATGAGTTCAGCTCTAGTCCTGCAATTAGTTCAAAGTGCGGAGGCATCCAGCTTTGGCAAGGCACCCTCTGTGATCACAGGTACACTCTGACATGCTTTTAAACGACTTGGTGAAGCAGTGCCCAGAAACAGCAGCGAGTCTCACATATATGACACCCTCTGCGCTGGGTCCACCAGCTCAAACAGCTGATGACAGCCTTGGCCCCCGTGTTTGCACTGGTGAGGTGCCTTGCAGTCCTGCTTCTTGGCTGGTTTCTGCAGCCCAGGGCAAAACAGCATGAAAAATGCTGCTGTTTTGATTTCCCAGATTGTTCTTCTCTCCATGAGGTTTTTCCTCAACCTTTGCAGTACTGGCCTCTATTTATTACTTTTAAAGCAAAGTGGAAATACTTTGAAAGCTTTGTTATTTTCAAAGCGAAGTGTAAATAACTTGAGCAATGATTTTAGGGGAAATTTCTGGTGTGGCTCTGGTCACAAAATGGAAGGCTGCAAGGGGCTTTCTTAGTGGAACTGATCTTTTGGTTGCTTCTGATGTCAGCCAGGGGCTGGGAAGGAGGCGAGGGTCCTCTGCACTCTTCTTGATCCCAGCAACCTGCTCCCTCTCCTGGGGCGGGTTTCAGGCCCCTACATTCATGTGATGAACCAGTGAACTCTCATCATTTAATGAGCCTTCATACCCAGAACTGGGTCAGGATTTTAATTGAAAGGGTTGAAAAAGCCTGTCCATTCAGACTTTTTTTTTTTTCTTTTTCTTTTTTCTTTTTTCTTTTTCCCTCCTTTTGCTTCAAGTTCAGGGCAAACCCATCTGCATTTGGACAAGTGATGGTGGAATGTTTTCTCTCCTTAAAAGGCAAAATCCATTAGGGGCAGAAACATGAGGACAACAGAGGTGGCTGCTGACAGCAGCAAGTGGGCAGGGGAGGAGGGGACCAGGGAAGCCTTCTCCACAGCACTCTGCAAAGCAAAAGAAATGAACAATGGCCTGTTTGCTGGCCCTGTTAAAATTGGCATGTGGGGATGAATTCCTGTTGCTCACGTACATTTGGTGGTGGCTACAAGAGGTAACATGTCCACTGAGATAGAGGAGCGATATTATCATCTTGGCCGCTTGCCAAGAAATGTGTTTTTAATTTCCTGGAGACAGCATTTCTGGCCAGCAGTTTTATATTCATTTTCTAACTTAATGATTTTTCTAACTAGCAGTTTAATCGCTGCGTTATCTGTTTTGATAACGAGCACTTCTGCTAACCCTGGAGTAGAAGAGCATTTATATACTGCAGTATATAAATGAAGTAGTAGCTTGCCAAAGGACAGGTCAATATTTATACAAATTTCCTGTTGATTGCTGTACCAATGAATAAAATGATTCTGTGGCTGAAAGGTTGCTGGATGAATTCAGGATTCAGGGCTGTGGTAGAACAGAAGTTTTCACTTGCTTATGTGACTCGCAGTTCCTTCGCATATTCAAAGGATGAACCTTATTGACAAGATGTTGGCTGAAATAGCTAAGGAGTTTTATCCAGCTTTACCTAACGATCTCTGCTGTGGAAATAAATAGGAGAACAGCTATTGCCTTCAGCAACGTTGAGAGTTGTCCTCAACTGCAGAAATTCCCACTGGTGTCAATGAAAGCTAAAGGCAGGGTACAGTCTTAGGCTGTGCCAAGAATGTATTTCTTGGCCCTCGTCGGAGCATTTGACATCTGTGGGGTCTGCATGGTAGGCAACATTAGTGAGATGTCCATGGTTTTTCCCTTCATGTACTGCACAGCTGTAACACACGCTGCAGAGCAGGAGGAATTTTCAGTTTTCATTGGTATTTGCTGTGACATTGATCCAGGCCATAAATAGGACCAGTCCAACAAAAGCTATGTGAGGGCTCATCAGGTTCAGCTTCTGGGCTTACTGCCTAAAACTGCACACCCTCTGCAGTCCACATTGCTTGCCATGTGTAACAATTATATTCTCCATACCCATTGTGGATAAATTGCATGTCACTGAAAGGATAAATTTAAAGCTACAAGCTCTTGACCAGTGAGAGGCATGAGATTATTTCCATTTGGGCACACTTGTCAAACAGAGAGGGAAGCTGTCCATTTTTTCATTTTCATTTTTATTTTTATTTTTATTTATTTATTTTATTTTATTAACACGTGGAATAAATTCTGCCAAATGGTTTTGCTTTACTGTCTTGCAATCTTTTTCAGCTGTGGTGCTTATAACCATTATTCAAAGTATATATAATTCCTGCATCAATTAAGAAGCCTGTATGGCTGAACAGCAGGGAAACTACACATTTTGTGATGACTTACAGGCCTGTTGATCTGTCTCTGTGTTCCGGCAGTTTTTTGCTCTGTTTGGGAGAATGCTTACTGTTCTCCTTGGGGGAAGCAAAGTGTCACTTCATGAATAGGTAGAGAGGACTTCTCTCCTGCATGGTCTCCATTCTTAAAAGCAAAAGTTTCAAAACAAAATTGAAAAGTTGACCATGAATTATGTGCAGTTTAGAAGGAACAGCTGTTTTTAGAAAAGGTGTAAAAATATAAACCAGATGCTTCTGTAACAGGCTAATTTATTTCTATAGCACCAACTGTGGAAAGAGCATCTTCTGGAAATGAATGGTGTCACTG